AGTGCACTGGAAAATAATATGAACTAAATACACAGGCCTATTTTCCAACGCATTGCGTTGGAAAATAATATGAACCAAATGGGCACTACTATTTACTAGCATAGTGCACTAGAAAATAACCTGAATCAATTTGAACCAAATGGACACTACTAATGCACTAGAAAATAACTTGAACCAAATACACAGGTGTATGTTCTAGCGCAAGACGCTAGAAAATAAACTGCACCCATTTCTACTGTTTAACTTTTACAATTCTAAACATTTTTCAATACCTTGCGTTGGAAAAAAATGTGAAAAATATTTTTTTCGTTTTTTGAAATTTTTTTTTGTCAATAGTAATACTAAAAACATTATTTTTCAGCACAAGAATGCCAAACGAAATTATGGTGCTAAATTATTTTTCAGTGCAATGTGCTGGAAAATGAGTTTCACTTGAAAATTATTTATGGATTTTAGATATTTTATATAGATTTTTAATTTCCAATGCTCGACACTGAAAAATAATATATTATTTTTCAATGTAAATTGCACTAAAAAATAATTGGTTGAAAAAAGTCAAACTTTTAGTAGTGATTCTAGGTAGAAAATTAACTCCACTAAATTCAACTAACCTGAAGACATGGTGCAGTACTAGTACTTGTTTTAATCCTTAGAAACTAGAATCAATTACCTATTTGTTTGATTAAAAAGAATTCGATTTCTGTTAAATAAAATTTTAAATTTAAATCTAATAAATGAAAAAATAAATATTAAAAGAAAATTTTCTTATAAAATTTGATATGATTTGATTTTAAATTAATCGAAATCAAATGAAATTATCGAATATCAAAGATTAATAAAAAAAAAAAATCCCTACAAACTGTAATCATAGGGCAGCACGTGCCATTGCATCCACATCAGCGATGGCTCTTGGCGGCCTGATCTTTTGAAAAGTTAACTTTATCTCATAATTTTTTATTGGATCAAATTTATTTATTTTATTTTATCGATTGGTATACTAATTTTTGATATATTTTTAAATTTATTATGTTTATTTTATTTTATTTTGTTTTTTAACAGCTTTATAAGAATAAAAATTGTATTATAAACTGTGAGTACAAGAGGATACCCATTCGTTACGGTAGGAAGCTTTTTTTTAGATTTAATTAAATAACTATTCACTAATTTTTAAAAATTTCAAAATACATTATATTTTACATTGAATATGTCTAAGTTTAATTTTAAATATAAACTTACAACTTGACAAATATGCGTTACCCACTCTAGTGGTTTTTTAGTTCTCCTCCTCAATTAAATTTATGTTAATTAACTTAATGATTTTATATAACAAATGAATGATAATTGTAAATTTTTTTAATCTAAGTAATAATATTCAACAAATATTATGATCAATGAAAGAAATATTTTTAATTGTTATATATTTATTATATAAAATTATTAAATTAAACTTTACATAAAAATTAAATTAATACAATTAAAATAAATAAAAAATAATATTTTAATTGTAAATTTTTTTAATCTAAGTAATAATATTCAACAAATATTATGATTAATGAAAGAAATATTTTTAATTGTTATATATTTATTATATAAAATCATTAAATTAAACTTTACATAAAAATTAAATTAGCACAACTAAAATAAGTAAAAATAATAATAATACTTTAAACAAATCTCCTCATCTCAAATCCTAGGTCTTCCACCTATGTGCGTTGTTACCCTAACGAAAAGTAAAGATGATTGATCTTTCAAACTTGAAATAGGGGTTCTCTCCTGATTCCATGGCTTAGCACTGTCTATTCCATTGAATGTCACGCACGAGTTGAAGAGGG